TGGAGGCCAACATTACTGTTTTTAAGAGGCTGTGGTGTGCTGTTTTTTAAGCATGAAGGTAGGTAGATATCTCCTGAAACTGGATGACCTAAGGCATCCACTGGCACCGACAATAGCTAATTGGGAAGGGGTATAACTAATGCTTCAAAGTTGGGCTAAATATTTGCAGTAGCAACTGGTATGGGCATTTTCAAAGAGGTCCCTTGAACTCTCACCTCAAGGTATCTGAATGACAATGGGTACATAACACGTACACATACTTAACACATTAATTATTTTATAACAGAATTTTTGTGTAACTTAACATGTTTACTGTGCCTGTATTGGCACAGTTTTCAACTAGACTGTATACTATAACAGCATGACTGAATTCCTGACATTCAGTTACGGCTTTTGGTTTTAGTGGGCCACCCAGAGATTTTGAGTGACCCCATCTAGCCACCCATCTGAAAAAATTCCAGGGGTGCTTGGGTCCACTGATGTTGATGATGCCATCAATACTGTACACAGAAACAATTAGTTTGCATATTAATACTGAATCTTAAAATAATTTGTTTTCAAAATAAGAATTTGTCTTCAAGTTGAAAGAAATAAATGAATAAAAGAATTTGTTTATCTATCCCATATCATCACTATGGAGCTTAAAGTCCTATGGGCTTTGGCAAAAATGGAATAGGACTGTCTGAGAAAATATAAGTGGGAATGCAGCCTGTATTTATTTATTGCTAATCCTGGGCAACCTAAAGCATCCCAAAGCTGTTTGTGAGTTTGGAATCTGCTCTCTGGTGCGTGCTACTACTATTACCAGTGGGGGCACAGAAGCTAACAGAAATGTCTTTAAGAGGCTGTGGCACGTTCATTTTGTAACTCTAACCTCAAGATCTTTGAATGGAAATAGATTTTATGTGTACCCAAGAGTAAGAAAGGGATAACCACACTATTTGAAGAAAAATGAAACACCTAACATGTTTAGATACATAACACATTAAAACACAACACATTCAAACAGGATTGTTGTGGAACTCAAGAAGTTAACTGCACTGGTATTAGTCTATGCACATCAGACAATTAGTAATGTCAACTGTAAAAGGGGAAATTAAAGTATATTAATATGCGATTCCTTAACTCTCCATATTCACATAGTTTTCAGCTAGCCCGTACACTACCATAGCACAATTAATTTCCTTAAAATTAAGTCGTGGCTTTTGTTTCTGGTGTGCCAACCCCAAGATTTTCAGTGGCTCCATCTGGCCACCTGTATGAAAATGTTCTGAAGGCGCCACTGGGTAACTGTATCTGTGAGCGATCTCTAACCAAACCCTACCCTAACCCTATCAACAAGCTTAAAAACATAGCTCCATTAGTCTGTAATTAATTTATTCAAACCAAACAAAAAGCACCCCATTCCTCATTAAAGCTGAATACAGATGCTGTGCTGTTGCTGGTTTAGAGTACCGGTGGTCTTATTCCAACCACCGGTGGTCCTATTCCAACTTGAGCCCTGGCTTGAAGGCAACACTGACAGTTTAATATTTAAGCTCTGTGTTTTCAGTACAGGCCTAGCACGGTTTAATGTGGAAAGATAGGATGTTTTATTTTTAAATGTGTTATTAATTCATAGGCTGTAAAAACAACCTTTTTGTCAATTTCATAATTTCATATTGGAAAGGAAATCCTCACACATGGACGCCAAGAACTAGGTGTTGCATCTCTGCCAGCGTCAAACTGAATAAATGCTTATGATGAATATGCCCACACCACCAGAGGGGATGGACTAAATCGTAATTCTCATTCTGCGGCTTGGAAAAACTTCCGCCTTCCCGGATGCCAAGCAGCTCTGAGGCGATCCCAGTGATGAGCCAAGGAACGCTCTGCTAACTGAGCTCTGGAGAAATACGGTCACGGCAAGATCCATATTCAAATAAACTTCACTCTTGGCCCGTGCACACAAGCCATGTTGTCACCAGCTGGCAGTGCCTCTCACCGCCCCTTCAAATACTGAGCCACTTTTGATTAACGTCTCTACGGCTAATCATGTGCGTTAGCTGTGCCAAATTGGACGAGCCACGTATGGCCTCCATTTGCCTTGAAATCTCTTATTTTTTTAAACTCATTCGAAGCATTTGAGAGCCTCCCTTTACACCACCCACCCCTCCCCTAAGTCTTCTCTTGTCTAGTGCCCATACATAGAACAGAGAGGGTGGTGTGGCGGCATGGTGCCATCCTGCGGGTCCCTGAATGAGAGGACTATCGCTGCCAGATGCACCCAGCTGCATAAATGTTATTCATTTTTTATGGCTTGTGTACATAATATGGCCAGTGTGGGAGATTGTGAGGTTCCACTAAAGGCTGGAAAAATCCTCGAAATTGAATCAAAGTGGAAAACTTATTTTGGCTGCCGACTGTTCTGGACCTCCTTCTTTTCCATCTCCCTTAATTCTCTTCCACTCCTCCCTGTCTCACATGGTGCTCTCTGAGGTTCCTCTGTAAGTGATTCACAGTATATGCCTTCTCCAAGACTGCATTGGCTGCTCTCCTTGTACAGCCATAGCGGTGGTGTTGTGAGACAGCCGGAATATTTGTCATAAGTCCAGAGGTGCAAAGACATTAGACAGCACTTTGTCACCAAGGTCTGGAATTCACACCATTTGGCTGTTTCCAAGTCAGCTCCTTAACCGCTGACTGGCCTGGTTTCTGTCAGCTGCCGCTCTGTTGACATTGAAGGCTATAAAAAGACGGCAACATGGAAGGTTGTATGCTACTAGCCTTTTTAGGTGGTCAAAACAACATGCAGTCTACAAAGAGCGTTGCGACAGGGATCCACAGCCAAAGCCCTTGACTCGGTGCTCTCTCCCTCAGTTCACAGTTCAGATATAGTTTAGTGGTTTAGAATGGCTCTCGTCAGGGTTTGCTAACCCCCGCAGAGAGATGGGCTTGAACTCCGAGCAGAGCCACCGTCTCCCAAATCACCAGGCCCAGAGGAGGCCCCAGCAATCCAAATGTGATCATGGCGGGGGCCTCCCGTCTCATTACCAATCTCCATTTCAAAACAGCCTTCAAATGGGAACTAATGCATTAGCTCTCGCTGGGGGAAAAGTCTAGGGAGCCACTACATAGCGGCTCAAAAACGCTTTCATACATGTTTTATCAGCGGGGGAAGAGTGAGCAAGAGAGAAAAGGAGCTTGGACCGAACCATTCATTTGTTGCCCATCTTATTAGCTTGGCACTGTGTTATTAGCTGCCATTGTGCTCTATAAAAGCCCCTTAGGCCTGTTCCACTGTTCGCTGAATCTGGGGTGAGCTCTGTGCCAAGCACTTTTTGGAGGTATTTGAGACCATGAAAATTCAATCCTAAACCCTCAGCATTGAGGTTTCTCACAGATAAATGAAGAGGATTAGTGGAACAATAAAACAATGTCTTACCTCAGATACCACCGTATCCTATTAATTGGGATTATAGTGGAGAAATGTGTGGAAAAAAACCTTCAATCTTGTATCACAGTCACTTTTTTTGACAAGCTGTTACACGGAGCCCTGTCATTGTAACAATGTTCCATCAAATAGAAAATGTGTTCCAAATTTTGAACAAGTAAATATAGAAAATCATAAACAATCCCAGCAACAAAAAAACAGAAAAAAAGCTTGGACACGTGAAGAATAGCTCTGGAAAAGAGCTGACAATTGCAGAAGCTGTAATAACCCACCTTGGGTTGGATATGCTAGGCAATGTGTCAATTGATTCCCATCTGATGATGGACTGTGTGCTGAAATAAATTGACCTTGCCAGACGATGAGTGAAATTGATGGAGCTTTTCATCTCCGGAGGGCCGTTCCACACTCAGCCGTAAAATGGATAGAGCACAGGACAGAGTGATTGAGTCGGGGGAAAATGTAAGGTGTGTGTTTTTCTTCTACCAAAGCTTGCTTGGTAAATAATAGCTACAGGAAAAATCACTATGCGGTAACAAGTACAGGGGTTAAGTACCTGTTGTTGACTAGATGATTAGAACTAAAAGCACACAGCGCTAAAGTGAAGCCGGCCATTGACAGATGCTACCCGTCTGAGGAATATGTGGCTCAATTACCAGGAGCCTAAATTGAAAGTGATAGTGATTTAAGTCTTCCCAATACTCAAGCCCCATTCTGGCAAACAGTCTTTTCAAGGAGCCCTTTTTAAAAAACCCTGCCAGAGTGTGTGAGACACAGGAGCGCCATTGATTTTCAATAACATCCCCTAATGACCTAGCCACGGTTTGATCCACGCTGTCATTATGGGCTGATACCATGGGACAGGATTGGTGGGTCTCACGGCACACAGCAGCGAGATGAGTAGTCGGGGCATTATCAGGATGAATTGGCCGTCTCTGGACAGGCGGCAAGCACAGCCGAGGTCTTGTCAATAACAGGACGGGGCGCCTCAGGGCTCCCTCTGCGGCCCACTCCAGAGCGCCTTCCGGCCTCATTAGAAAAGCAGATGAGTGGTGTGCATGAGGAGAGGGGGCGTATGAGAAGAGAGAGGAGCCTCTCCTCCACCATCCGATAGCCTGCCTCCCAGGCATTGCTCCTCTTAATGAGTCCAGACCACGGGTCAATATGCGGCTGGGCTGCCAGTCAATACCGGTTACCTGCAACACAAACACTCAAAACCTGCTTTCATACAAAATCAATGTCCTATTAGTCCCTCCCTGTATTGCCTTGGCCCAATCTCATCGATCCCCTCTGAAGAGCTCTGCAGCCCATGTATGACAGATTATGGTCAAATGATCTTATGGCTTAGGCTACTCTGCCAGCCAAGTCTGTTGCCTTTATGATTTCAAAGTAATAGCTTGATATCAGATGAGCAAATACTCTAAATGCTGAAAACGGAGGCACAAGCATTATTGGCAAACCTATCAAGCTCACATCAACATTCCACTCAGTAAGTCTGGCTCACAGACAAATTCAGTGCTCGTAGTCAGCACTGACAATGCGTGCCAGGATGAAAGACAAGTAACAGATGTATGACATTAGGTCCAAACTTTATTCCGTACATTTTAAACCAAGAATGTTCATTTTCATTTTTTTGCACGCCTAAAACTCTACTTGTTTTGTATACAAGAGTCTAAGAAAAACAACTGCACAACACCACAAGGTTGACAGAGAAAGTCTTTTTGTCCGCCCACTAAAAAGTGTCCTTCTTTTCTGTCCGGGGCTGGTCCAGTTTGTGACTTGGAAGTCTTTTAATAATTCCATCATTATTTCATTGATAATATAAACATGTGTTAATCCAAGTTTCTCTCAGCATCACCAGTATCGTCTGCTCCCTCTGGGTGATCTCTTCATTAGGGTGCTGTGTGCTGCTTTGCATAGATTGCAGATGATCCTTCTAGGCCCCCTTACAACACCCTCCCGTCATACTTCCCCATCCATTGGCCAGGCTTGTCTGTTGCCATGATATTCAACAGGGAAGTTGATTCCCCATGTTTCATTTAATTTTGTTTTTCTAGAAATGGTTAAAAAGACTAATAAATTTACATGGTAATTTTGCAGCGAAGGAATATCAACAAGTTATTTACATTGGTTTTCTTTACAGAGACTGAACAAAGACCTCATAATATATATTTATCTGCATATCTCAAAGGCAAAACGAATGAACAAAACAAATCGGTAATGTAACATTGTACATTGTCATCATTGAGGATATCCTGGTACCATGAGGTTAAATTACTGAAGGTTGAAACCAAATCCAGTCTTTACAGTGGGTCATAATGGATATGTCTCACAATCAACTGGGATAAATATTGTAAAAGGCGTGACTAATGCACAAAATACATAAAATTCATAGAAATGATATCTATACATGGAACAAGGATAGGAAATGTACAAACTCATTTCAGGACCTCTCTTTTCGCACAAAGCTGAAAAAAGGTATTGGATTAATATATTAATAATTATCAAATATTTAAGTCGGATATAAACATACACATATTTATGTTCTCTTTACCGACATTATTCAACCTTCAGTCCGCTAAAAATAAAGTCATGGCATGTGCTTAATCAGCCTTACACACCTTTACTTTGTACAATCATACCCTTTCCGTTAGGGAGTTTTGCTCTTCTCTGGTGAAGAGCAGTGCATTTTGTTCGCAAGAAGTTCTCAGATTAGGGGAGCAGGGCTTGTGAGTGCGTCTAGTAACACCTTGTGCACTTTTCTAACAAGCTACCGAGCCTCTACCTCTTTAGGATTGCGAGATGGGGAGTAGTCCCGTGGGTCCTGGGTGGTGAGGGGGGTAGTCCTCCTGGGTGAGGCTGGCCTGGCACTGCCGGCTGGCACGAGGGGCGGGGGTGCACTGAGTGCGGCAGTAGGGGGTGTTCTGTTCAGAGGGCCGTTGTGTCCCGTAGAGGGGCTGAGTCTGGGATAGGGCATGCCGCCTAGGTGGGGCATAAAGGGGGGCATGTGGGGTAGATGGCCCTCCATTGGGGACTGGTGCAGTTGATGGAGGCGTGCTCTGTCCAGCTCCTCCCTCAGGTGGAGGCGCTCTCGCTCCTCCGCCTGTTGTCTCATCCTCTCGTGCTCCCTGCGCACCTCCAACAGGTGCTCGTGGTGAGAGTAGTCATGAGCCTCCCTTTCGCGGTAGGCTCGTTCCTGTTCGTACACACTGGGGAAACGATGTCCTTGCTCAGCCCTGAGCTGGAAGTCCATGCGTCGCTGCAGGTCCAGGCTGCGGTAGGCCTCTCTTAGTGGGTCCCAAGGGAAGGCCGGGTGGGGCAGGCGCTCTCTTCCTGCCAGAGGACTCACACCCATGAAAGGAGCCATGCGAGCCCGGTCTAGCACATTGAGGCTGCCCATCTGGGGCATGGCACTCATGGAAAGGGGCAGAGAGTGTGCCATGGGAACACCATGCAAGCCAGGTGCTGGAATGTCACTGCCACGTGGTGAGGGAAGAGGGGGCTGGTGGGACAGAGGTGGGTGGTGGTGGTGTGGGTTTACAGGTTGGCTGATGGGAGCAGGGAGAGCCTGGGCTGGTGGTTGGGGGGCGGGCTCGGAACTCACCACCATGACCTCCTGCTCCTCCTTTCTCTCCTCCTTAATCTTCATGTCATTTTTCACCTTGTGGAGGAGCTCTGCAGGCGGGGGCTCTTTCCTTTCGCTGTCCTTGAGTGTAGGCGGGGGCCCACCTGCCATCTTCATGCCCTGCTCATTGATCACGGCCTTGGAGTATGGGGAAGGAGAACGTTGGGCGGGTTTGATGGAGTCTTCAGAGGATCTCCTCTCTAGTATCTCCTTGCTGGGCGAGCGGCTCTCCTTCACCTTTACGTCACCCAACGTAGAAGATTCTCTGTGGCGCTCCAGCAGCTCCTTCTCTGCCTCACGAACTCGATCTACACTGCCGCTGTGATGTCGACCCGAATCACAGGAGTTCTGGCTGTTTGAGCGAATCAGGCTGCTGATCTGGTAGCTGACAGGTGCAGAGGCTGGAGATGAACGATTGGAGTGGCGGTTGCGATCCACAGAATCCCTGTAATGACATAATGAAACAATTTAGTGCTAGATAAATCAAGCATCATGTAGAGTTATATTTAGGAATGATTTATTTACCTTGATTGAATTTAATAAAATCTGAGTTATAATTCTCTTTCAAGAAATAAAGGTAACCATGCTCATGTCTTTCACTGACTGTCTTTAAACTTGACAGTTAAACCTACGTTTTGCTGGAATATCATCCAAAGAGATCCTTCCAATTAATTTTTGACAGATAGCTTCTCTAAGAGCTGCTTGTTGCCTGTTTGATTTGTGTCTGTTTCCTTGTCGGATTCATGAATTCAATTTATTTCAGTTTCCACGGATACAACTAATGGACTGGAGAATTGTCACACTTTTTCTTTTAGTCTTTGACAGTACATCTTTTTATTTCCAGAGTTGATTTCAGATTTGATTCAAGTGTTGTTCGTCTTGTTCAAACATAATTTGCTCATCTTGTATATATGCTAATGCTAGCTGGAAAAAGGATCATTATTGTAGACACATCTTTTGAGCTGTGATCATGTATTTGAGTATCTATGAGGATAGTTTTGATATGCTGTATGGAAAGATTCACAATTTCTTTCACATTTGTTGTGTGTTGTTTCCTTGGGGGAATGCTTTGAAACAATACAGTGAAGTCCCAGGTCAAATTTTGCATTGTGATGACAGCAAAAATGTAAAGCAATTGCATTATGGAGAAATATCATTCAACACTGATTTAAATTGAACAAATAATACCCCCAAGTACATACAAAAGCAAAAGTTACTTTTCATCTGCCTCAAACTCACCTGTCTTTATCCTTCTCTTCCTTCCCGATGGACGAGTCTCTTTTCTCTCTTTCCCTCTCCCTCTCTCTTTCTCTTTCTCTTTCCCGTTCTCTCTCCCGCTCTCTCTCATGGCTGTTGGCTGAGTTGCTTCTCTCAGCGTCTGCGGTTTTGGGCCACTGTGGCGGGGTGGGGAACGATGGTGGGGTTCGTCGAAGTCTGTTCCAGGTGTCGTGGTGGGGGCTGCCAAATGTGGGCAGTCCTCCTGGCCCCTCCTTGGTGCCAAACACGCTGTTGGACCCTGGAGGGAAGGGGGGAGACAGTCGTGGGACCCACTGTAAGTTAATTGGGCACAAAACCTTCTTGAGGACACATAAGATGAGAAAGACTCAACAACAAAAGCGGCTTTTGTCTTTGTCTCTGGAGGTTCTCTCACTGAAGCTGTTTGAAAGAGTTAGAGGTTAATGGCTCCCCCCACCAGAGAAAAAAACTACTCATTTGCTTTTGGACTAAAGGGCTTCTCCCCCCCCCTCCCTTTTTTGCACTGGATGAACAGGGAAGACTCACTTGCCCTCTGGAGTTGAGGGCTGTGAAAAGCCAAGGGAGACCTTAGCATTCCACAGCATGTCTATTCCAATCACATCCATTTTCACAACAGGGTGACCGATTTGGCACACAAAAATAGGAGGGATGAAGAGAAAAGAGAGAAAGGCATAGAGAGAAGGATGCAGGGGGAAAAGAGAAAGCCCTTCATGGTGGTGCAGAAGGGGCTTGTCAAATAATTAATAGATGAACTGCCACCAAACAGCGGACCTGAGAGTGCCTGTTGGCAGCAGCGCAGCCAGATTAAAGCCAGACTGTTGGGGACATGGTTGGTGGATGAAGTGGAGGCAGGGAGGAGGTTTGCTGTGGTGTGTTGTGCTGCCTTGTTGGGCCTCCCTGGGCTAGGGCTGTTTTGACACAGAAACTAGAGCTAAGTGTCTTGATTTTTTTTTTCCTCCCCTCCTGGCTCTCCCTGTGGTCTAACGCTGTCCTGCTCTGTTCTGTTACTGGCCACAGGGGCCAGATTGAAAGGGGGAGCGGTGGAGGAGGAGAGGGGGCCAGCGCTTACCAAGCGAGGGGTTGCCTAATCCTCCGAAGGCACTGCTTGAAAGGTTGCCGAGGCCGCCATAGGAACTGGAGCGACTGAAAGGATCTGTAAAATGCCAAACAGGGATTAGCAAAAGGGGGGGGCTGGCTAGCGGTGCTCACCCCAACACCAACCCGTTCCACTCGGCTTTTCTCTTACAAGCGAGCTGTGGTTTTTTTAGCGCTGCCACCCTAGCTCTCTGCCTGCTAATCCTGCAGTAGCCAGGTCGCCTGGATGCTGGATTCACTGCCACTAACTGGAGTGGAGTGTCCCTGACCCTGCTGGGGCTAGTGAAGGAACACTGCTTGATGGGGAAATTACTTTAGAGTTGTTGGAGCTGAACTGCAAATAGACTGTGGTGGGACAGGGGAATTAGAAGCTGTAAAAATTAGGCTAGACAGACCACAGTGATTTAACTGGAGAATCAGTGTCTGATGGGCTCCGCTGGCGCAGACTACAGCCTCCAAATTTATAGGAATAACACAAACATTTACCCTGAGAAGTCAGTGAGCAACATTCATCAACTGATAATTTGCAGTCCCATTTTAATTCTGCAAAAATCCATCAGGAAATGCAGGACTTATCAACAGATTAGGGTTTAAGGATTTTCAGCTCCGGGGCTTGTTAATGTATTAGAAAAGACAACAATTAAGAAATCTCCTCTGCCTCACACATGAATTCCCTGGACAGGAAAATTTTGCTCGCTAAATCTTCCTCCTCAGTGCACCATGTATTCATAAGCACAAAATGGATTGACTCAAGGGCTTATTCCATGAAATCAACTTTCCACTCTGAACCAAAACAGAGTCTCAGATAGAATGGTGGAAAAATAAATGAATGCATAAAAACATAATTAAATGCACAAATAAATCCAACATTAACTACCCTCCATTACTCCTGTGAATGACTTTGCAAGCATATAGAAAATAGTGTCATATGTTGTTGCTCTGCAAATATATTTTGTCCAAACAAATGAGGGATACTGAATACTAGGCTAGCTACGTGTTTTAATGAACCCAGACAGAGTTATTTAAGGCTGTTATGAATCATACTGTCTGATTATATGATGGCTACACTCTCCATTACCATGAACTCTGAGTTTGCTGAAGAACTGCCGCAACTGACTTATTTCAGTGGCCAACTGGACTCCTTATGAACCCTCAAAATGACCCAGAGATCAAAAGTAGATAATTCTAGGCTTCAAATTACACCCCGGTGGCTTTTAATGTGTAAAAGAGAGAGAGAGCAAGACGGAGAGAAAGAGGAGATAAATGTTTAAAAAAAAATGAACATGGGGTTACTTACACTTACCTGCCAAATGGCTAGGAGGCAGGAAGCCGCTGGGGTGGGGGACAGGGCCGTACGGAGAGGGAGCGGGGTGGCTGGAGCCTGTCAGAGCAGAGATGATATCACAGTGTTATTGTTGTCTAATCAGACAGTTATAAAGGCTCAATCCTAGATCACCCCTTGCCCCTATCACTTAGCCCTTACCCCTCTGTTTTGCGTGTTCATGACTAGGGGTAGGGTGTCCCGATTCTTGTTGGGATAGAGGGGTAGGGTAAGGCGTAAGGGCTACATGGCCCTCAAAATGTAGGTTTTCAGAAACACACTTTAAACTGAGTGTTATGAGAGATGGTCTAACAGTGAAGTTACTGCACTTATTACTGCTCTTCTATTATCAGTGCTTATAGGCAGGGTACGAAGGAGCGCAAGTTGCTAACCTTAGCCTACGGAGCGCTTCTAGCGACATGGTAATGAGACAATGGTCTTTTGTATTTGATGACTTGTTTGATCATCTGATAGCGAGAATCCGTGCTTTTCCATCAGATGAGTGGAAAATGGCATTGTGACAATACCATTTTGCACGTTTTCAAGTTTGTTTATGTAAACCCCATTGATACTGATAACGAGTCAGGATCACAAAGGTTTAGGGGAAGATTTCATCCCACAGGCCCTTGTAACTCTTTTCTGAGGGGCACTGGAAAATGAGGGGTAGGGCTAAAAATAAGAAATAGGACAGGGCCAAACTCTCTGACTAGTCATACAGAGACAAACTGAAGTTAATCTCCATCAGAAACATTTTAAAAAAAAGGAAAAATCTAAATGCAAACAACTATTTACAAATATTTTTCTGAATCAGCAAGACCAACTTGTGGAATATACATTTAAGTGAGAGGAATTCAGAGATGGCTGGGTAATGCCATTGAGCAAATTAGTCAGTGATATTTTTGCTTTTATTGTAGCTGCTGCGCGTTTTGTGTGCGAGTCTATAGTTGCTTATTGAGGTCAGTTCCTGACTGTGCAACAAGCTGGCCTCTTTCACAAAACACTGTTACCATCACCCATATTCCATGAATTGTTAATGAAAGAACCAATTACAGCAGTGCCTCTGACACACCACTGCATAATTACCAGTCAAAGGCCGTTCGCCTCTCTGTTGCCCTCCAACGCAGGGCAAATCAGTCAATTACCTAACCGAGAGTCATCCATATTCATAGACATATCTGACTCCCTTTACTGGCAAAACATTTGCTACAAAAGCACTATAATTAAGTGAACATTACATGAGAGGAGAGAAAAAAGCGATGCTATTTCAGTGGTGGAGGAACAATTTCTCAACGTGCGGCTATAAATGCTCATTTGCATAAAGACAAAAAAAAAAAAAAAAAAAAAA